AATAAAATATGGATAAGAAAAATATTTTCAAAACATTAATGCACAATAATTAAAGTGACACTATACTCAGGAGTCAAATCTTAAAAATGCATTTAGGTACATAAAGTATTAACAAATCATCTAAGAAATTGTGTGCGCACTGCCCTTCCTTCTGGAGGGTGGCTACTTTTGTTCCCTATGGTCCCTGTGTGTGATATAAAGTAGACACCGCTCCAAGCTCACTCCTGTGATGGACTACAATATCAATACAAATTAGCTGACTAAACCTGAGATTGTAGTTTATCACGGGAGTGTGCTTGGAGCGGTGGCTACTTTACAACACACACAAGGACCATGGGGAACAAAAATAGCCTCCAGAAGCAATCCTTGGTTCTCAACTGCTGGGTCGTGACCCAAAAGTGAGTCGCCGCATGCCTTCCACTTTTCGAGGTGAGAGGCTCCTCTGCCTCCCCCTAGAACATCACTGTCAGTTCTCGCGCAAAGCAGCTATTCAAAATATGTTACCCGGCGTCGAGTGTCAGGTTGAGGTGGGATGGGCTTGAGCTATGACTGCGAGGGAGCTCAATCCATACATGCATTGCTTACAACTCCCTCATGTGCCCTGGACTGGAGTGATGTGCGCTGGGAAACTTTTTGCTGTTGGACTGGAGTGATGTCACATTCTGGCTCCCGACACCTCTACAGGGCGTGCAAGGGAGTTGTACAAACAATGCATGTATGGATGGAGCTCCGGCACAGCACAGTAGCCCACACTGGACCCCCGGTTGAGGATCTACTCCAGTTCACGTAAGGTAGGGAGACTGGGTAGATCTTAAACAGTACTGTGCAATTAACGCACTGTACCATGCAATCGCACCTAATATGCGTTTTGGTGTGGGAGGTGCGTTGTGGTACCGGAATGCCATGCTTTCCCCGACTTGGGTTGACACTTTATGACCAAGGACAAATGTGGGTCCTGGGGTTACACAGGTTGAGAACCACTGTCTTAGATGGAACCTAAATGCATTTTTAAGGTTTGAATCCTGAGTATAGTGTCACTTTAATTATTGTGCAATAATATTTTGAAAACCTTTTTCTTAACCATATTTTATTCATATTAATAACATACTGTATGTGTTTATGGAAGCATCAATATTGGCTAATTCCATATGCAGACTATGAGGGGAATTTATCAAAACTGGATCAGACAAAATCTGGAGCAGCTGTGCACAGCAACCAATCAGTTTTTCTCTTTCATTTTCAAATCTTAACTGAACAAAGTGAAGAGAGAAGTTGATTGGTTGCCATGGGCAACTGGTCTAGTTTTGATAAATTCCCCTCTGTTTGTTATATAGTTCTACACAGTGAATTATCCTAAATTACTGTGTTCCACTAGTAATTTAACAGAACATTTAAGGTGTACTGCTTGACCTATAAGCTACAGATCTACAGAATTAAAAAACAAAAACGGCATCAATTGTTTAGTCATTCGCATGATGGCTACAAGTGAGTAACTTTTAATGTTCTTGAATTACAGGACATGAAGGTTAGTGCTGAAGAGCTGCAATATATTCTGAATGCTGTTCTACAAAGAAGTAAGTTCAGTGCATTAAAAGTTAATTTTTATATTAGATTAACAATCACCTATACTTAAAAAAACTATTTGGGCTCTGGTCTGCAATTGCTTTGTTTATCTTGCCTAACTCCAAACTTTATCTTTTTTTAAATTGGATTAATTTGAGAAGGGTAGATACTTCTGAAAAGTTTTTCTTGCTTTACCCCTAAGAGATTTCACCTCACTTCCAGTCCCTGTGTGCAAGAAAAAGGAAATGATGGCAACAGTTGTCACTTGGACAGGGACATATGGACAGTAGTAATGACTTGTTAGAGGTTCTTATCACATATCTCCAAACTTTAGACCCTAACAAGGGACCCCTTGGTGCAAAGCCCTTTCTAAGCACTGGTTTCTCATTGACACTAAGAATGCCCCCTGCCCTTAGCATCAGTGGAAAGTGGCACTTAGATTTCCCACCTACTGTGTGCCAAGCATTGGTCATAAGCACTTGACCTCTTAGCAATGGTAATCAGTGGCACTCAACCCCTGCTTCCTTGGCATTAGTGGGCATGGGCACTCAGCCCCTTATCACCACCAGACTATGCAGATACTGTCAAGCAGGAGATCACTTTGCCCTAACACTGCTAACGTAGATCTATTCCAGCGGGCCCCATGGAGCCCATCCTGATGAAGGGGACCCTGTGTGGCCCCGAAACGTTGCTATTTGTTTTGACATGAAGCGTCATTTAAAAGATGTGTTCTTCACTTCAATAAGGTTGTGCTGGTGACATCTTTAGCAAGTTTCAGTATTGGCGGCGCCATCCGCGGTCACTTCGAGCACCCATGCTGACAGTGATATCCGGTAAGGAGTGCAGCAGGATTCTGGAATACATAAACTCCAGAGAACACGTCACCACTTCTCTAGAGTCTAGTGGCGGTGTGCTTTACACCACTACATCCGACGCTTTGCATTGCACTTGGTGATGTAAGGCTTGGATGTAGCTGCTTGACCATGGAAGCCCATTCCATGAATCTCTCTACACACTGTTGTTTTGCCAATCTGAAGGCCACACCAGGTTTGGAGGTCTGTAGCTACTGACTCTGCAGACAGTTGACGACTTCTGTGCTTCAGCATGCACTGATCCTGCTCTGTCATTTTACGTGGCCTACCACTTTGTGGCTGAGTTGCTGCTGTTCCCAGTTGTTTCTACTTTGTTATAATGCCACTAACAGTTGACCGTGGAATATTTAGTAGCATGTAAATTTCACGGATTAACTTATTGCACAGATGGCAACCTATTACGGTACCATGCTTGAATTCACTAAGCTCCTGAGAACGACCCATTCTTTCACAAATGTTTGTAGAAGCAGTCTGCATGCCTAAGTTCTTGATTTTATACACCTGTGGCCATGGAGGTGATTGGAACACCTGAATCCAATGATTTGGAGTCCCAATACTTTTGGCAATATGGTATACGTGTAAATGAGGTTTGCTGCAAATACAACTACTCCAATGCGGTGTAGAAAAGCATAATATTGCATGTAGTAAGGAATAAGCAGAGTGATATTGCCAAAATTGATTTTGTGATGAAATTATCAATTTTGCTTTCAACCAAAATTTTGCCAAAATCGACCACTAATATTGTCATGTACCTTTAAGAAACCCTTACCATATTGCTTTGCAAGCCCTGTCACAGCACTCAAAACCCAGCATCGCTCTCCCCCCCCCCCCCCCCCCCCCCTTTGTCCCGGGGGTCCC